AGTCCAGGTTTATATTTTGACTTATAACTTGGCTTCTGCCTGAAGGAACTCCCGAACTAGCGCCCTGGTCTGAGTTGACGTTTACCTCGTCTACACGTGCTCTGGGGACGTATGGCCCCTCAACTTCTGTATCCAATTTCTCTTCTCCGCTATTCATGTCCTCATAATCCAGGTTTATATTTTGACTTATAACTTGACTTCTGCCCGAAGGAACTCCCGAACTAGCGCCCTGGTCTGAGTTGACGTTACCGTCGTCAGCATGCAAATTGGACGCGAATGGCCCCTCAACTTCATCATCCAATTCCTCTTCTCCGGTGTTCGCATCCTCAAAGTATATTTCTTCTTCTCCGCTATTCATGTCCTCATAGTCCAGGTTTTTATCTGGACTTGTAGCTTGATTTCTGCCTGAAGGATATCTTGAACTCGAGCCCTGGTTCGAGATGACGTTACTGTCGTCAGCATGTAAATTGGACACGTATGGCCCCTCAACTTCGTCATCCAATGCCTCTTCTCCAGTATTCATATCCTCAAAGTCCAAGTTTGTGTCCTGGCTGCTGTTTCCCACGTTGCCATCGTCATCACCTATGACACACAGCCCTTCCACGCACTTGGTTGTTGCCGGGCATTGCGCACAGCTGTCGCCAAATATTGCATATTCCTCGTTCACAACGTTACCAGCCGGATAGTAGTTGCACACAGTGCCAAACCCTTGGGTATAATAGCATCCAACACGTTGCGTATTAGCCCACATGACCTGTATGAACCCGGCATCCATACCCCCCTGACATTCATTAATTTTCAGACTACTTATCCCAGGAGAGAGTCCAATAGCCCTTTCATCCAGCTTGTTTACCACATAATTCTCACGCTCACTGCATCCGTTGTAGCCATCTGATGTTCCCCATTGATAGTCTACCCATGCATTAGTCGCCCCTCCCGTGACATGATCTACTGGTGCACCCGAATACCAATTCTCACCGACAGTAATGTTATCCCCTGTCGACGTAGTGATTCCCGTCTCACATGCACAGGCCTCGTAATCCTGTACACGCAAGCTATTTCCACCTACAATGTATTTTACACATGAATAATTGATTGGACTGGTGCGATCGGTATTGAACGATAATATATTTGTTCTGGTTCGGTTCAGTAGTTTAAGCAATAACACACCACTGAGTGTACAAGTTCTACACGTCCCTCTCGCTGAATCAAAGTTGGTACCAATTGAATCGGAGTTGTGAGCAAGCATGAACTACTACGCTGGTTTGTGAGCTTTCCCCCCCCCCTCCCTCCAGTTCATACGTATATGGTTGTATTGCAGCTAAGACTCATTATCGTATATGTTTCTCCTTGTCTTCGGCTGGTTTCCACAGAAAACATTTTGCAACAAAGATAAGTCAAAATCACATGTCCAAAACCAATTTTCTGATAAGCATAATTTCATTTACTATATGCCTATAGCCTCATTATTCATTGATTATACATGGCTTCTTCCTATCTCAGGCTACATATCTAGTCCTGGTATTATGTAGTAATCTCGAACACGGTTTTTGCAATATACACGTCACATCCTGTGCTTTAGTTGGCTTTCATTTCAAAACACTATCTACTGAGTACTGAGGAAGACAGTGTGCTGCGATTCATTAGTTCCCATTCGTCATTCTATTGTGGCACGTTTAGTGTATAATGTGCGCCATCGATAATCGACTTAAAAATATGCAAAGGTGATCAACCAGTTATAGATTCGTAGACAGTTCGAGCCTCGTAGTACGAGATCAGTATGCAGCGCATAATTATTATGTGTATCTCGATAAAGGGTAATAGTGTACTGGTATTCAAAGCGAATTATTTATAAACTTACCGGCGTAACCTCCTTGTTGTCGTTCGATATGGCGCTGTGCAGCGCACTCGAGATGCATATCATATTCGAGGTGATAGGTGGCTTGTGTGGCAATAGAGCGTCGTTGTTTATTGTGCTCGTCTACTATGGCTTTTCTGTAGTCCTCTGTCATTTGACCAGTCGTGACATGTGTCACGGTCATCAGCGTAAGCGCTGCAACGGCTGTATACATTGTCATTGTTGTAGATGAATGAATTTATAAGTAATAGTCTATGTTGTTGTATATGCGTTTACATCAATATGTTCTGCCCTCGGTTATTTCTCAATGTACGGGCATGCGTTTCTATGTGTGGAATGTATATGTGTGCTACAGCAATTACGAAATTGTGCAGGAGCTCTAGGAGTGCTTCCAACTACAAGTACTGAACTATGAAGTAAGAATCGATTTCTTCTCACATTTGTATACTACATAATACATCTTTATATTGCCGTACGTATATATGGCATGAACGTATGATGCCTGATAATAGTTAACACAGGAGTCATTGACTCATGGGAGAAGGGGCCTATCGCTGATGACCGTGTAACAATATTGACTATACAGAGGACCAACCGAGGACCTCAGCTAAAAGGTTCGCACTTCTTCGAACCTACTGGTTCTAATAAGAAACACGGTTTATGATTGGACGAGAGACTGTTAATCGGGACGATCTACATTGAATAATTCAAATTTGAATATATACATTCAGAGTCACTGGTTAATAACTTTATCGGTTGTCCTACGGGTCTGAATACAGATTATACTGACAGACCTTATAACGTTATGCCATTTGTAAATAAACGTTTAACTTATAACGTATACTTTTATTTATTATGCCGTTTAACGTTCTGTGCAAGTAAGTTGACCTGAAAATTTTGCGCAGATATGACCTGGAAAATACACCTATATTTTTTTTGGCCATGAAACACAAACACTATGAAACATGAAATCTCTCCTTTTGTGTCAAATCAAGTCATCAGTCGGATAGTAAAAACTGGCACACTTTTGTCTATTTACATAAAAATCATAAAAATACAAAACACCCCTTACATATATAAAATTATAAAAACCATAAAACATATTGTCTATGTACGTAATATGTGCTAGTAGTGGCTACAATCATTGAAAATATTCTACAGAATTATATGGACAACTGTGCAGTGAACATGATAATGATAGACCTCACAATGAATGTAAATACCTTACACTGATCCATGTCAATCCAAACCGGACGTTGGGATAGGCAAAAGTGGCGGCAGGGGTATATACATACAATATAGGACAAAATTGTCAGCTATGCTCTGACCTGGAAAATAAACCCTCTATATGGATTTGGGACCACATATATGATTTAAACGTTTAACGTATAACGCATACATTAAAAATTTAGCCGTTTAACGAATAACGGAATGAGGTCTGATTTACACGTAATACGTATTTTTATACGTCTGTTACAAAAAGGATAAACGTAAGTTGTACATACATTTGCCTTTAAGAAATAGATCTGGCACAGTAGCACGGCACTGGGTCTAGCCGAAAATTTACCCTTATATTCTCTTATATGTATTATCGAAGTTTTACGTAAATTGTACATACATATACAACTCTGGCCTACACTTTGAAAATCAAAACAGTAACAGTAAACACTAAAAGAGCGAACCCAGTCCCCAGTCTGGTTCCCCACTAGAGTGAGCCCGCTGTAAAATATATAAAAATTTAAATACCAATCAATATAAAATAAAGACGGACTGGACTTATTTTATTAGGACAACTATATATCGTTATTCAAAAAAGGAACCAATTTGAAATAACGACAGACTATTCTGTCTTTTATTATGAAATAATTATAAGTTGTTTCATTTATAAAAAAATGTGCTCATGTTGCTGAGACTTGTTGAGATTGTGAGCAACTCTATAGACTCAGAAAGTCAGAATGCGCATCTCATATCTCGTAGCAACGCTATGCATCTGTATTTATTAGCGTATATTTATAGAGTAAACATATCCAGTTCCGTATCAATCTGCTAATGACTTCTCCCAGTTCAACTACTTGTTTTCTATTTGTCGATGCGTATTCGTAGTAGTGTTAGTGTATGCATAGTCTATCGTTGAGACCGTTCTCGACGTTTGGACAATTGCGATTAGAGGGAGAGTGACAAATGATGACAAGTTGAGCTTTGTCTCGAGCTAATTTCTCAGACACGTAGCTACTTGTACTATCCGCCATCATTGTTAAATAATATTTGTCCTCTGACAATAAACGAATATGCAACGAAGTATCTTGTTATAAATACGAATGGTATGCAACGATATATCTCTTTTGACGATACTATGTGCATCGCATCGGACTACATCAGATCTGAATGAAACCTGGCTTTATCAGTGTAAGATTGAATTTTGGCATCTGTGTGTTCTAAAAATTGCAAAAATNTATATATATATATATATATATTGCATCTGTGTGTTCCTAA